CTCGGGCTCAGGGCTCCTGTAGGAAGAAAGGATCATTTCCCTTCTCTGTTGTGAGGCAGTGGTGCCACCTGGGGCTGTGGGCGCTCACAACTCCTGGCCCTTCGCTCTGCAGTGGCCGCGTCTATTTTGGCAGCGCTAGAGGGAGGGCGCCTCTTATGTAAGGCTGTGTGTCTGCAGGGTGTGTGCAGGCTGCTGCCTCCCTGCATTTGGCAGCCTTTCGCTTTTAATAGCAGCTCCTTGTCAAGGTTGGGATGAGCCTAGAGTCCCCTCCCTGGGGAAGGGGCAGGGATACTAGCACCCCAACCCCATGGGTGGGCCCAGTGGCTCCAGGGTCACTGTGTGACCATGAGGAGGCCCAGGGCAGCTTCTCCTCTCCTACTCAAAGCCCTGCTCAGCCCTTGGCCCCCTTGGCCTGCCCCGCCCCCTCAAAAAGCTCAGGCTGCCTTCCTTAGTCTCCACCCCGCGCCCAGCCCTTTGCTGGTATCCCCCCCCCTCCCACTTTCCTGTGGTGATTCGGCCTCTCCTGTCTAATCCAGGGTTCAGCCTGCCCTGCGGCACCTGGGTGTGGGGGGGGCCCAGCCGAGATGGGTCCTGGGTGCTGAATACTCATCCCACCACCCCAGGGGCGTGGAGTCTGCTGACCTCCAACCTCAATTTTTCAGTGAGGAAGAAAGGACTCGCTTCCGGGACCTACTGGCCAGTCCCGCCTACAGAGCGAGCCCCCTGCAGACCATCGGGCAGCAGCTGGCCCGGCAGATGCAGCTGGACGGCGGTGGCCTGCTCTGACCTGGCCTGGGTGTGCCGTGAGCTCCAAGGATGCACATGAGGTGCCAGAGAGGGTCGACTCCTCGCCATTATCACCTGGATCCTGGAGGCAGCCTCCTCGGCCTCCTGCCCCCTCTGGGGGTGAATAAACGCCATGAACTCAGGCAGTGGGACCGCGCTTCCTTCTGTGCCTTGGCTGTCCCGTGAGCAGGAGTTACTGTCACCAGTCCCGGGTTTGAAGGTTGGGCTGTAGAAGCATTGACGTAAACCTTCAGTCTGAGGATGTGGAAGGGGGTGGGTGCCTTTCTCAGACCTTCGGGAATGAGATGGGGTTTGTGCTCTGCGGGGACCAGCTAATCATGACCTCAGGGGCAGGGGAGGATGTGGCTCAGGAGGGTGGGCCCTGGGTCCTCTGCTCGAGGTCCCTGGTCACTGGTTGCTGGAATTGCCTCGGAGCCTTGGCTGGTGTGTGGGGCCCACCCTCACACGGCTGGACGATTGGACTGATGGCTGCATTGGGGTTGCGTGTGGCCACCTCCCCGGCATCCAACATGCCGACGCGTCACGTGCCAGGCCTCAGAGGGTCTCAGGCCCCATGTGTGCTCCACGCACTGGCTTTCTCCAGGTTTCTCCTAGACCGGGGGGGGCGGGGGGCATGGAGCCCATGCAACATCAGCCAGTGGGGTGCACCCCTCCAGGTCCTGTGCTGCTTGAAGCCAATTCTTGTACAAACGGCGGCTGTGCTGCTTCTGGAACGTTCCTTGTGCAGCGATAAAGCCGGTGCCGGCAGTCTGAGCTGAGGTCACTGGGCTGAGACATGGGGGCTCAGCCCCTCCATGCTTCCATGGGCTCTCGCCCGGTGACTGGGGTTTTCCAGGGTGCCTGCTTCCAGGATATCGGGAGAGCCAGCTGGCTGGCGGAGATAGCAGGACGCCGGCCTTCCGGGCCTTTCTCTGATGTATTCCTAGGGCAGCTGGTCCCCTGCTCCTGGACCTGAGACAGCGCGTCTGCATGAAGAAAGACGCTTCTTAATTTCAGTCAGAGAGACTCGGCCAAACTGTTTTCTTCTAAAGATGTTCAGATAATGTTGGTTAAAATGACAATTACATGCATATTCCTGATGTTGGCCTGTGTTTCTTAAGTTTTTCTTAAGATTGGAGACATCATAATTGTAAGATTCGTGGTACAAAAACAGTGATTACTTGTGTTTCTGAGCCCAAGTATTTTTCCTGGTGCCAGAGGCCTTGGACCATGGAGTCTCCGTGGGGCCTCACGACAGGCCTGGAGCCTTACCCTTACTGTCCCCTGTACCCAAGGGGTGGCCCTGGGAACCAGGCAGGCTGGGCACTGGCTAGGACCTTCTCTCCGAGGGGAAACTGAGGCGCAGAGACGGGGAGGCCCCCCACTCCCGTGACAGGCTGAGTGGTGGCCGGGCTCGGGAGCTGTCAGTGCTTTCCCCGATGCCGCCTTCAGAGCTTCCTGATCCCCCTTGACCACCACTTGCACACTTGAGCTCTGCCCTCAGCTTAGGTCAGCGTGGAGCTCAGGGTGCCCTGGGAGGAATGCCTCTCCCTGCCTTTGTGCCTGGGCGTCTAGCACAGCGGTGATCACTCCCACCTCAGCGTCTCTCCTGGGCTGGGGAGCCGATTCTAATTACATCACAAAGTTTAATTAGAGGACCCAGTACCATCAGCCCTCTGGCTGCTGGGCTCCCTCGGGACCAGCCGCAGCTTTCCCTCTGCCTCCTGCAGGTGCCCCCCCCCCGCCCCC